GCATACAAATATTAAAAAGCAAAGGTCCTAAGATGGAGCCTTGAGAAACCCCGCATGACATATTGTCAGGGTTTAGTGAAGCAGGCAGGACCCAAATGCAGATTTCAACGAAAAACCTTTATTCCAAGGAACGAAAAAATACCTTTCTTTCAAGGCCAAAGCGTAAGAAACAGAACCCTACCCCGAGACACAGTCAAAGACAAACAATGAACCAACAAAAAAAACAGAACTTAAATACACACAAGATTAATCACACAAACAAGACACAGGTGAGGAGGGAGGAGAAAACACAGGGGCACCAGGTGAACACAATTGGGTAATTAGGTAGGAGGGAAAACAGACAGAAAGCAACAGGCAAGACAGGGGGTGAACACTTTTCAAAACAAAACATGAAACCAAAGACAAAACACAACACAACACAGACAGATCATGACATTAACCCCCCCCCCCCCCCCCCCCCCCTCCTCAAGGGACGGATCCCAGGCGTCCCAAAACACAAAAAAGTCCAACAACCGTCCAAAAAAAAGTCCAGCAGGGTGGGTGGAGGGGGACCGAAGGAGGGACACAAACTAGGGCCACCAGGGTGGGTGGAGGGGGTCTGGAGGACGGGTTTGGACTGACAGCCCAGGAGCAAAGCAGAGGACCCGGAAGGGATCTCGGGCGGACGGCCCGGGGGCAAGGCAGAGGATGCAAAGCTTTTTATACTGCACACCCTCCACAAACACCTTGAAAAGCCACAAGCCCATGCCAGGCTTTTGTTTGCTGACTTTTCTTCAGCATTTAACACAATGCAGCCGCATCTCCTGGTGGAGAGCCTATTATGTCATTTTAAACTGCCCGATCAACTTGTTTTATGGATTTTAAACTTTCTAACTAATAGAGAGCAGAAGGTGTCTGTCAATGGACGCCTCTCTGACTCTGTCATCACTTCCACGGGCTCACCTCAAGGATGCGTTCTTTCGCCCCTACTTTTTATAATGTACACTGATAAATGCAGGAGCATGCAAGACAACAGCTACTTGGTTAAATTCTCTGATGATACCGCCCTCTTGTCCCTCCTTAGCGGCTCAGAATCAGGCCACGAGTGTGCTCTTGCCGATTTTATTTCCTGGTGTGATGACAGTTTTCTGGATTTAAATGTCTCCAAAACCCAGGAATTGATCATTGATTTTAGACGTCACAAGGATGTTCCTAAGGAGTGCATCATACAAAATGACAAGGTAGAAATTGTCACATCATACAAATACTTGGGCACCATTTTCGATGACCACCTCAAATTTGATGTGAATACTGAGTGTATTTTGAAGCGGGGTCAACAGAGAATGCACCTTCTTCGCAAACTGAACTCTTTCTCTGTCAGGCCTTTCATTCTTTGTCGTTTTTACCAAGCATTCATTAAGAGCCTTATTTGTTTTTCTTTTATCTGCTGGTTCCATAGCCTTACACTGAAAGACAGGAACAGCCTGAACAGCATTGTTAAAACCTGCTCCAAGATCATCGGCGTGAAACAGAGAGACTTAAATTCCTTCTGTAACCAACAGATTCTGCGGAAAGCAGAGAGCATTCTGAACTCTCCAGGTCATGTACTTTCACATGAATTTCGTCTGTTGCCATCAGGGCGTAGATATGCTCTACCTGATCAAAGGACTAATCGCTTTTCTAAATCATTCATCCCTTCTGCACTCAAACTCCGTGGACCTCCAAAAGCCAGATGAGTACCCGAGAACGGCTTCTGGACAGGAGCAGGAAATGGGGAAGAAGCAGGGGTTGACTCCAGACGGAACACACCGAGACGTATGGCGTCAGGTTGGGAATTGGAAGACAGGGGGCTAGCATGCCTGGGGCTAGCAGGCCGGGAATCACATGTCGAAAGGAAGTCCAAAATCCAGTCAGGTAAGAACTCAACAAAACATGGTTTCTCTGCTGACAACCGGTGCGCCTCTACCAGAGCGGCCCTCTTCTGCCGAACACCGGACGCTCCCTTCCACCAATCAAAGCAGCAAGCCAAATAAAAGGTACAATTCGTTTAGGGAGCGAGAGTGTGTTGGACAGAGAGTGAGTACCGGTGAATACACATACATGTGTATTCACCGGTACTCACTCTCTGTCCTAAACAGCTTGTCTCTGTAAAGTATGTGATACTTTACAGAGATGCTGTATGAGAAACCAATGTGATTTTGGAAAATTGCACAATATAAATCTATTTCAGTAGACCTCAACAATGGAAATATGATCATGGCCATGACATGGGACCTTTAACTAATTTTAGCATTCAAATCTTTACATTTTACCTTTTTTTATTAACTAGAAATGAAATGAGGAGATGAACTGCACTTTATGAAAGCATTATTTGTAAAACAAGTCATTTTAATTGTTTGGATGAACTGTGATGATAAAGGTAACAACTAAAAAGGATTTCAATACGAGGTTAACTGGCTGATTTTAACCAACATGGATCCAAACATGCTGTACCTGTGACAGCATAATCTTAAATGTAAAACCAAAATAGAGATGATGTAATATAATTGATTCTGCTTCATGAGTCAAATTCATAGAAAACTGGAGGCAATTTCCCCCCTTGGACACTGAGTTCAAGGGTGAACTGTGTGTGGTGACATACTTTTTTTTAAAACTGAAAATGCAAAACCTCTGACAAAAACAAAATGCAAAATGTGCTTGAATCTTAAAGTGCTGTAAATAATGTTTGTTTTTTTAGGTGTATGCATCACATTTGATTCCTACAGACAAGTGAAGACAACTAGAATAATAACTATAATACCAAATAAATGTACAAAAGAGTCTTTGATACATACACATCCAACAAGTCTTGCTATATAATAGTTATAGCTATAATGCAAAAATTGTGATACACATTTTTTTTATTATAGTCCGATGATAAATTGCAACTTATAGCAAAGTATTTTTAACTGATAAATAAGTGTAGAAAGAAGCCTAGTTTTGTTTTTGGGTGAAGGTTTGGGTTTGGTTAGAAATTAGGTCAGGTTAGGGTTGAGGTTTGAACAGTTAAATACTATGCTTTTTGGGGTTTTCCCTTTCCTGTAGTGTGTTATAAAGAAATGTTGTTCATGTCTATGTTACATTTGTGTTTCCATTGGCTAGCGCTCCAACACATTTTACTTAGGCTTAGAGGTTGACTAATCACAACAAATATTCTGGACAACAAGCACTTCTGCAAACAGTGTCAAGTATGGAATTCCAGTTCCTTGAAATAAAAACATGGTGCTGCAGGCATAGGGCTGAACATGAGGTTGTGGTTAGTGTTACGTCAATCTGTGGCTCTGATCTTCTGCTTTTGGTCACCTGATATAATAGGACTGAAGGGAGAATGTGACCAGATAATGTCTCTGTGACTATGTTTGGCCTTAAGGACAAGTGACTGCACTGGGTATCAAAACTCAGGACTTTTTTGGAAATGTGTCAACAGTAATCATCAGCTATTAAAACTCATGACTGCAACTAATTTGATGATTTTGTTGTGTCAACGTTTTAACCAAATACTCATATAAATAATATATATTTTGATTACGCTATAGCGTAATACAATGTAGCGGATACAAGCGGCCGAGATGGGTTTTCTCCGCAGGGTGGCTGGTGTCTCCCTTAGGGATAAGGTGAGAAGTTCGGTCATCAGGGAGGGACTCGGAGTTGAGCCGCTCCTCCTTCGCGTCGAAAGGAGCCAGTTGAGGTGGTTCGGGCACCTAGTTAGGATGCCACCTGGGCGCCTCCCTAGGGAGGTGTTCCAGGCACGTCCAGCTGGGAAGAGACCAAGGGGTAGAACTAGGACCAGGTGGAGGGATTATATCTCTTCGCTGGCCTGGGAGCGCCTTGGGATCCCCCAGTCAGAGCTGGTTGATGTCGCCAGGGAAAAGAAAGTTTGGGGCTCTCTGCTGGAACTGCTACCCCCGCGACCCGACCACGGATAAGCGGAAGAAGATGGATGGATGGATTACGCTATAGCAAGAGAACAGAAGAAAAAAAAAATGAGTTCAAATTAAACCTAAACCCACATCTAGGTGGTTTAACCACATAAAGCAGAAGTAGAAACAACCATCTTAGCTAATGACTCTGAAAGATTTTGTATTATTTGCTGTATTTTAAATTATTTTATTCAAACCTTAAATTCATCACTCATATATGTCATGATATGTGGGGGGTATAATTAAAACTGTTTTGTACCCAGCCTGAACACTTGAAATGCCTAACCGTTCCTGTAGTTCGTCTCTCTTATGTGTTCAGAAATATATTTAAAATATCTCAATTAGCCAATTAAAAGAAAGTAATCTACAAATAAAAATTACAAAGGAAGGGACAAATGGGCCTAAAGTAATTGAAAATGTGTTATGAGACAAAACATAAAAATGACAATTAAAATATAAACAATGAGTCAGATGACCAAAATAATTCCAGCAATACCATGATACTGAAAACAGTTTTATTAACAAATTACATTTAAAAACATGAAAGAGCGAACTACATTAATACAAACAAGTCTGTCCAAGTATAGCATTTACAAGTGTATTATACAGTGGAAGTACTATACTGTTTCGACCAGGGATCAAACTTAAAGGTGGGGTATGTCATTTTGGAGAAACCAGCTCGAGTGCGCTAGAATTTGAAAATACACAACCGTAAAAATCTGCCACTTCCTTACAGAGCCCTTCCTCCAACACACACTACGGCTTCCACCGATTATTTTTTTAAAATGTATTTATTGTCACACGGCATCTATTGCACGTCTGTCCGTCCTGGGAGACTTTGGGTCACCTTCCATCCTGCTATGTTTTCCTCTCCAGGTAAACAATTAAGTTGGAGCCTTGGTTTCGACACTTGTATTTCATACAATCGTTGATGATGAAATGCACACCTTTGCAACCCCTTCTAATTATTCAGTTAATTTCTTCCAAATAATAACACATGATGTATACTTAAACAGAAAATAAAGATTTAAAAATGGAATGTAACAAATAAGGTCCACATCATTAAGTATTATTTGGTTCCCGGAAACTGAAATTTGATGGTAGACATGGAGCTGCTGCTTTCGGGGATGCTGGTGAGCAAGCTGAGAACACAGTGAGAGCAGGGGAGGTGGGGGACATGGAGTTGGAGATCACTGACTGTGGCGCTGACCGGACCCTCCACTGGCATCCTGAATCGTACATGAGCCTCACCACATCATTACGGAAGCGCACGCCTACCAGAGCGTACAGGATAGGGTTGAGGCAACATCGAGAGTACGCCAGAGTGCAGGTTATGTACTCCAGCAGCAGAGCGCAGAGCGGCCCCGCCATTTACGCGACAGCACCACAGTGTACGGCAGCTGGAACACCAGAAACACCACCACCAGCGCTACCATCAGCTTCAGGGTGCGCTGCCGACGCCATTGCTTCCCCCGCCGATTTTTGTTCCCTTCCCACAGCACTTGAGCTATCAAAGAGTAGCATGTCACCATAATGAAGAATGACAGGCAGAAGACAGCAATGATGGCTCCGTTGGTTGACATCTTGGCTGCTCCACGCTTTAGCATGCCGCAGTACGCTTTATCCCAAGACACTAACACTCCAGAGTAGAGGATTTCAGGCAAACTCAGGAGCATAGCAACAAACCACACAGCAACAGCGGCAACTTTCCCGCCTGTAACAATGCGACTGCGCAGCCGGTGCATCTGTTGGGCACGTGCCACCACAATGTAGCGGTCAACGCTAATGCAGGCTAGCAGGAGTAGCCCGCTGTATGTGTTGATAGCGTAGCATACACGCAGAACCTTGCAAAGGCAATTAGGGAAGATCCAGCCTAGGTGCGTATCGACAGCCTGCAATGGGAGTGTGAGGAGCAGGAGAAGGTCGGCCAGCGCCAGGTGGAACAGGAAGACGTCGGTCATGGAGCGAAGACGGAAACGGCGGGAAAAAACAAAGGTGGCTATGACCAGGCAGTTACCCGCCACGCCCAACAGGAAAATCAGGCAGAAGATGCAGGTCTGGAACATTTTGATGGTGAACTCTTCAGCATCACAAAAGCATGATTCATTCTCGTTGAAGTATGTGGAGTTAATAATATTCCACAATGAGTAGTTTGAAAAGTCATAGGTTTCTGGGTAATCATTGTAATCATTGTAGTCAAAATGGTCTTCATCATGGCGGATTTCCATTGCTGGTGGGGAAAAAATAAGAAAGGTTTGAAAAAAGAACTCTACTTGTTAAGCCCCGAGCCTGTTTTTCAGGTCTCAGGCTCGAAAATGACATTCCCAGAACAAATGACCATATCTTCCCTTCTAAAAGGGTTAAATTAATAATCTTTTTTCTACAAGCAAGGTTACATCTGTGAGTTGGATGTAGAAGTGTCAGCATCAATATAGATGTTTTTATTTTAAAGTAAATTCAGATTGAACACAGTAAAAAAAATTAAATGATTGTGTCCGTCCAAATAGTTATAGTGAAAACCACCCTTGAATGATGGGATGGTAGACTAAAAGCTTTAGGAATCCAAACTACAACATATAATAAGTACCCTGTATCAAGATTGATGCAAAACAAGTGAAATTTGACCTTTTTAGAGAGATTTAGCAAAGAAAAACCACTTCTGGGGTCATTTGGGTGGATTTGACCTATCTCTGGCCCCCCTTGCTCGATTTAGCTGATTGACATATCTTTCTAACCGTCAGAGCCAATGGAATCGAGGGGAACTCCCACATACTCCTTATTTGATAATGTGTGTGTGTGAGACTGACGCATAGCCAAAACCGGAAGCTGCGATAACTCTGGTGGCTACCATTAGCAGCTAACTTTTACTCTCCGATTTTTACATAAAAATGGAATTATAGATTTAAATAATTTTTTCAAATCCATAGAAACATTATCAACATATGGATTAACTGATTCAGCCGCGTTTTTTCTCATTTTAATGCCATTGAACAAGTCTTTTGATCAGATTGACAGCTACGGTGAGACGATCTCCCGTAAAAGCTCCGTAAAGGTACGTGTTGTGATATCTGTGTTTGCTTCCGCTGTCACGAGTTCGGATCGCTCAGTGATGATACTAATACCTAAATAATCTGTGGAACCTCAGCTTTAATCGGATATCTTGTATGTGCAGCTACGATAAGTAATAAGGGTATCTTTTATCTTGAGTTCTGTGCCAAAGTGCGTTAGCATTTTTCGCTCAGGGGTCATTTAGATACTTCTTATGAGACTTGTGTTTTGTTTTGGTAAAAATGGTTTGTATCGTCAGTTAGCTGAGATTCTTTCCGTTAATCTGGTATAACACATTAATAGGTTCTTAAATATTAAGATGACCTGAGACCAGAGTTGGGTGTAACGCGTTACACCCAACTCTGGTCTCAGGTCACACTGACAGACAAGAGGGGTTTCCGCCGCAGGTTTATATGTACGTAATCTGCGCGTCCACATCTCCACGTGCAGTGCTGCATAAACATGGCTGAGTCAGCGATAACTTTCGAGGGGTGGAGGTATGCCCATTATTTTGAGTTTGTCCGAAGAATAGACAGGAATGTGATGGTGAGGTGCAAACTGTGTCCAGGCCAGAAGCTGTTATCCACTGCTTTAAACACCACGTCAAACCTCAACAAACACTTGCAAAGAACACATGCTAAGGTGAAGCACACACTATTTGTTGTTTGTTTATATCACGTAGTCTGTTCTTCTTCTCTGTCTTCCGGTTGTTGCCTGTTTTGAATGACGAATACACACTAACGCCGCCTGCTGGTAAGGAGAGTTATTGCCACTCACGCATGCGCAGTTCGTACGTGCTCGGCGAGTAAAGTAACGAGTTACTTTATGTAGAGAGTAACGAAGTAGTGTAATATAGTACTTTTTTTTTAAGTAATATGTAATATGTAATATATTACATTTTTTTAGTAACGGCCCCATCTCTGCCTGAGACACAGTGTTGTGAAAAAAAAAACAAAGCCCCCGCCGAGGGGGGCTTAACAGGCTAAAGAAGAACAGTGATACTATTGAAAAAAAGCTTGGAATATTATTTTGTGAACATTTTAGCTTTGGTGATCCCCTGACTTTTCATCTTTTTAAAAATATATATTTTTTAAATTAACGAAAAAGTATTTGTTGAATTACCATGAAACTGGTCTGAGACATGTTACCCAATGAATGGTCATATTGTCTTTATATCCACAAATATAAACCGAATGTAAGGGTTGATGGGGCCAATTTTGTCTAGGAGTTTTGACACTAATTACCATGTCATTAAGACATTTCTTTCATGGATTAGTATCTTTTTGATCAATACATCTGGCATCAATTCTGATGTGTCACTACAAGGCCACGTGTTAGCGGTAAAATAACTTCTGCAGCACGGCTGCTATGATTATCTTTTATTATGAGTCAGTCTGGGCTTCTACAAAATGCCATAGTGAAACCAAATCGTGTGGACTTATCATTGTTTGAAAAAAAATGGGGCTTCTTATGAACATTCGCCTGGTTTGATTTTAAGCAGAAAAATGTACTTCATGTCGCTATATCAGGACATAGCAACTCCTCCTCAATCGGATTGAAAGTTAGAGACCTGCCGCTCTGTTTCTCAGTTTCACTTAGCTTCTGTGATATTTGAGTCATTTTGCACTGGGTTGCGTGCCACTGGCACCAGGTCGTTGGCACAGGGGAAGTCGTGGGTAGCGCGAGCCTCTACATATCAGTCAGTGTCGCGTGCCAACAGCCTTTATAGGCAGTTTCCACAATCACCTTTTGTCATTTCATCTTCCACTGTACAACTCGGTTATGTCTGCAAAACTATGCGCATATTACATTTTTCTCTTTATCTTGTATTCTTTAATATCTATTTGATGGTGGATATAGGCATGATGGTATTTCCCTTGAAGGTAAGAGGAACAATAATACGCTGATGAGGTAATTTGCCAAGTAAAACATCTTAAGCAAACTGCAGTCTATAAGACTATATTACAATGGTTTTAATCATACTTTAAATCTAGGATGCCAAAAATGTGTAAAGGAGTTCAACAAGGGTCAACTCTTGGTCCACTATTATTTACAACTCTATCAAATAACTGCATCTCTCACTGTATTCTAATGTCAATTATTATGCCGATGATAATGTTCTGGGCCTTCAATTCAACTCCTATTGAGGCTTAAAGTCTCTTCACTCTTTCCTCAATCATATGTGCGCCCTAAATGCAGAAAGAAAAAACGAATTATTGTATTCCAAACATCTAACTTTTTGGTTATAACGAAAATGTATACTGAATGTAATGAATGTAGAGGTTATATGGATTATCTGTAAACAGGCTTCCGAAATTCAGCATTAAATCTACCCTAATAGTGTTAGTCATACTACACTCCACTGTTATATGGAACATTGTATTACAGCTATGGAGATGGGAGAGTGTGAACGTGTGAAAGTACACAAAGTCTATAATTGTTGTTTTTATAATCCATGCCAAGTTTCACGAACGTTTCTCTCTTTCAAATTCTTGGAGGACAATCATATTTAAAGGGAAACACATTGTATGATATTTGTGCAAAAAAGCTTTATCATAACAGTTTCAAAAGTGCCTCCTTTTTCTCATTGAAACGTTTCAATTTCAAAACATTTTCGAAAGATTATTGACCATAGAAATGTGTTCTGTGCGTGCAAAAAATGGCAGGACTGCGCTGATGCATTACGCACAGTTTAGATTGAACTAACGTTGTTAAGGCTAATTACCAGATGTCTACCCTTGTAATAGTCTAATAACTAAATTAAGTTTAAATAAATCACATTCTATTCTATTTCCAAAGCAGTTGACATCTCACGTAATACATGGTAGGCTAATACAGATTTTGTTTTATTATAATATTCTCTAAGATCCAGTATATTTTTCTTTTTATTCGTGATGACTTTTAAAGTTGGAAATCTGAATTTGTTTTTTTATGCTCCAAGGTTTTACATTTGTCAAGAAGTTTGTTTGCAGATATTAATTATTCTAAATGTAACACATTCTACACATTTGCCATCAGTTGTCACAATCAACTTTATTTAAAATATTATAGCCAATCCTGCATCCTTTCTCACTGTATCTGTATTAATAAGAGACAATGAAATAACAACTCCTTTGCAGTCAGGTTGAAAGTTAACTCATATCTGGCAACCAGGTCTGTTGTTGTACAGTTTGAGTGGGAAGCAGTTATATATATTTCAGTCATTGTTCACATGGTGTCAGGCTGTTGGCATGAGGGAAGCCGTGAGGAGCTTTAACATCTGCACACATGCCACATGCCAATAGTCAGTTTCTCTTCTTCTTTCACTGAAGCAGCTGGGTGAATAATAATATTATTTATTTTTCCTTGTTACCGGTACGGAAGAGGATTAGGGCCACATACATTTTTTTTTTGTGAGGATTTGAAAAAAAAATTATTTTTTTTGTTCTGAGAAAAAAGTCAGAATTCTGATTTTTTTCTCAGAATTCTGACTTTAATCTCAGAATTCTGATTTTTTTCTCCCAAAAAAAAAAATCCTCTTCCGTATACCGGCATGAGTCTTGTCACGAGGGAATGACCTTGCAGTAAATCTCTTTAACAGTAGCTGCCTTAGAATATAATTTTAAAAAGATAATCATTTTGACAATTCTTCATTTATTTGTTCATGTATACAGATTCTTATATTAATTTAACAGATTATGAGCGATTTATGTAGGCTCTAATTCGTGATTCACCATAATTGCAACAGTTTCTCTAAAATGATCTGCGGTCCCCAATAACTCATTTTAAATAGTGAGGTTTTAAATCAATCAAATAAAAATGGGTATTAATTCAAAATGGGTACATGTAATCTAGTAATAGTCATGTTAATTAAATGTATACATTTAAAAATAGTAATTTGTTGGTATTCTTAACTATATTTATTCAAAGTGAAACAGTCAAACAGTTATTTCAAAAGTCCCCAGAATTTCTTAGTGACCTTACCTGTGCTTTTTGAGTAGTTCAACATGTCCAGAGTCCTCCTCCTGTTCCTGAGGTAGAGATACAGAGCCTGCAACACTTGAAATGCCTAACCGTTCCTGTAGTTCGTCTCTCTTATGTGTTCAGAAATATATTTAAAATATCTCAATTAGCCAATTAAAAGAAAGTAATCTACAAATAAAAATTACAAAGGAAGGGACAAATGGGCCTAAAGTAATTGAAAATGTGTTATGAGACAAAACATAAAAATGACAATTAAAATATAAACAATGAGTCAGATGACCAAAATAATTCCAGCAATACCATGATACTGAAAACAGTTTTATTAACAAATTACATTTAAAAACATGAAAGAGCGAACTACATTAATACAAACAAGTCTGTCCAAGTATAGCATTTACAAGTGTATTATACAGTGGAAGTACTATACTGTTTCGACCAGGGATCAAACTTAAAGGTGGGGTATGTCATTTTGGAGAAACCAGCTCGAGTGCGCTAGAATTTGAAAATACACAACCGTAAAAATCTGCCACTTCCTTACAGAGCCCTTCCTCCAACACACACTACGGCTTCCACCGATTATTTTTTAAAAATGTATTTATTGTCACACGGCATCTATTGCACGTCTGTCCGTCCTGGGAGACTTTGGGTCACCTTCCATCCTGCTATGTTTTCCTCTCCCAGGTAAACAATTAAGTTGGAGCCTTGGTTTCGACACTTGTATTTCATACAATCGTTGATGATGAAATGCACACCTTTGCAACCCCTTCTAATTATTCAGTTAATTTCTTCCAAATAATAACACATGATGTATACTTAAACAGAAAATAAAGATTTAAAAATGGAATGTAACAAATAAGGTCCACATCATTAAGTATTATTTGGTTCCCGGAAACTGAAATTTGTTGGTAGACATGGAGCTGCTGCTTTCGGGGATGCTGGTGAGCAAGCTGAGAACACAGTGAGAGCAGGGGAGGTGGGGGACATGGAGTTGGAGATCACTGACTGTGGCGCTGACCGGACCCTCCACTGGCATCCTGAATCGTACATGAGCCTCACCACATCATTACGGAAGCGCACGCCTACCAGAGCGTACAGGATAGGGTTGAGGCAACATCGAGAGTACGCCAGAGTGCAGGTTATGTACTCCAGCAGCAGAGCGCAGAGCGGCCCCGCCATTTTACGCGACAGCACCACAGTGTACGGCAGCTGGAACACCAGAAACACCACCACCAGCGCTACCATCAGCTTCAGGGTGCGCTGCCGACGCCACTGCTTCCCCCGCCGATTTTTGTTCCCTTCCCACAGCACTTGAGCTATCAAAGAGTAGCATGTCACCATAATGAAGAATGACAGGCAGAAGACAGCAATGATGGCTCCGTTGGTTGACATCTTGGCTGCTCCACGCTTTAGCATGCCGCAGTACGCTTTATCCCAAGACACTAACACTCCAGAGTAGAGGATTTCAGGCAAACTCAGGAGCATAGCAACAAACCACACAGCAACAGCGGCAACTTTCCCGCCTGTAACAATGCGACTGCGCAGCCGGTGCATCTGTTGGGCACGTGCCACCACAATGTAGCGGTCAACGCTAATGCAGGCTAGCAGGAGTAGCCCGCTGTATGTGTTGATAGCGTAGCATACACGCAGAACCTTGCAAAGGCCATTAGGGAAGATCCAGCCTAGGTGCGTATCGACAGCCTGCAATGGGAGTGTGAGGAGCAGGAGAAGGTCGGCCAGCGCCAGGTGGAACAGGAAGACGTCGGTCATGGAGCGAAGACGGAAACGGCGGGAAAAAACAAAGGTGGCTATGACCAGGCAGTTACCCGCCACGCCCAACAGGAAAATCAGGCAGAAGATGCAGGTCTGGAACATTTTGATGGTGAACTCTTCAGCATCACAAAAGCCTGATTCATTCTCGTTGAAGTATGTGGAGTTAATAATATTCCACAATGAGTAGTTTGAAAAGTCATAGGTTTCTGGGTAATCATTGTAATCATTGTAGTCAAAAAGGTCTTCATCATGGCGGATTTCCATTGCTGGTGGGGAAAAAATAAGAAAGGTTTGAAAGAAGAACTCTACTTGTTAAGCCCCGAGCCTGTTTTTCAGGTCTCAGGCTCGAAAATGACATTCCCAGAACAACTGACCATATCTTCCCTTCTAAAAGGGTTAAATTAATAATCTTTTTTCTAAAAGCAAGGTTACATCTGTGAGTTGGATGTAGAAGTGTCAGCATCAATATAGATGTTTTTATTTTAAAGTAAATTCAGATTGAACACAGTAAAAAAAATTAAATGATTGTGTCCGTCCAAATAGTTATAGTGAAAACCACCCTTGAATGATGGGATGGTAGACTAAAAGCTTTAGGAATCCAAACTACAACATATAATAAGTTCCCTGTATCAAGATTGATGCAAAACAAGTGAAACTTGACCTTTTTAGAGAGATTTAGCAAAGAAAAACCACTTCTGGGGTCATTTGGGTGGATTTGACCTATCTCTGGCCCCCCTTGCTCGATTTTGCTGATTGACATCTCTTTCTAACCGTCAGAGCCAATGGAATCGAGGGGAACTCCCACATACTCCTTATTTGGTAATGTGTGTGTGTGATACTGACGCATAGCCAAAACCGGAAGCTGCGATAACTCTGGTGGCTACCATTAGCAGCTAACTTTTACTCTCCGATTTTTACATACAAATGGAATTATGGATTATTAATTAAAAAAATTATCACCCAGAAACATTATCAACCTATGGATTAACCGATTCAGCCGCGTTTTTTCTCGTTTTAATGCCATTGAACAAGTCTTTTGATCAGATTGACAGCTACGGTGAGACGATCTCCCATAAAAGCTCCGCAAAGGTACGTGTTGTGATGTCTGTGTTTGCTTCCGCTGTCACGAGTTCGGATCGCTCAGTGATGATACTAATACCTAAATAATCTGTGGAACCTCAGCTTTAATCTGATATCTTGTATGTGCAGCTACGATAAGTAATAAGGGTATCTTTTATCTTGAGTTCTGTGCCAAAGTGCGTTAGCATTTTTCGCTCAGGGGTCATTTAGATGCTTCTTATGAGACTTGTGTTTTGTTTTGGTAAAAATGGTTTGTATCGTCAGTTAGCTGAGATTCTTCCCGTTAATCTGGTATAACACATTAATAGGTTCTTAAATATTAAGATGACCTGAGACCAGTTGGGTGTAACGCGTTACACCCAACTCTGGTCTCAGGTCACACTGACAGACAAGAGGGGTTTCCGCCGTAGGTTTATATGTACGTAATCTGCGCGTCCACATCTCCACGTGCAGTGCTGCATAAACATGGCTGAGTCAGCGATAACTTTCGAGGGGTGGAGGTATGCCCATTATTTTGAGTTCGTCCGAAGAATAGACAGGAATGTGACGGTGAGGTGCAAACTGTGTCCAGGCCAGAAGCTGTTATCCACTGCTGTAAACACCACGTCAAACCTCAACAAACACCTGCAAAGAACACATGCTAAGGTAAAGCACACACTATTTGTTGTTTGTTTATATCACGTAGTCTGTTCTTCTTCTCTGTCTTCCGGTTGTTGCCTGTTTTGAATGACGAATACACACTAACGCCGCCTGCTGGTAAGGAGAGTTATTGCCACTCACGCATGCGCAGTTTGTACGTGCTCGGCGAGTAAAGTAACGAGTTACTTTATGTAGAGAGTAACGAAGTAGTGTAATATAGTACTTTTTTTTAAAGTAATATGTAATATGTAATATATTACATTTTTTTAGTAACGACCCCATCTCTGCCTGAGACACAGTGTTGTGAAAAAACAAACAAAGCCCCCGCCGAGGGGGGCTTAACAGGCTAAAGAAGAACAGTGATATTATTGAAAAAAAGCTTGGAATATTCTTTTGTGAACATTTTAGCTTTGGTGATCCCCTGACTTTTCATCTTTTTAAAAATATATATTTTTTAAATTAACGAAAAAGTATTTGTTGAATTACCATGAAACTGGTCTGAGACATGTTACCCAATGAATGGTCATATTGTCTTTGTATCCACAAATATAAACCGAATGTAAGGGTTGATGGGGCCAATTTTGTCTAGGAGTTTTGACACTAATTACCATGTCTTTAAGACATTTCTTTCATGGATTAGTATCTTTTTGATCAATACATCTGGCATCAATTCTGATGTGTCACTACAAGGCCACGTGTTAGCGGTAAAATAACTTCTGCAGCACGGCTGCTATGATTATCTTTTATTATGAGTCAGTCTGGGCTTCTACAAAATGCCATAGTGAAGGTTTGGGTCAAGGTTTGGGTTTGGTTAGAAATTAGGTCAGGTTAGGGTTGAGGTTTGAACAGTTAAATACTATGCTTTTTGGGGTTTTCCCTTTCCTGTAGTGTGTTATAAAGAAATGTTGTTCATGTCTATGTTACATTTGTGTTTCCATTGGCTAGCGCTCCAACACATTTTACTTAGGCTTAGAGGTTGACTAATCACAACAAATATTCTGGACAACAAGCACTTCTGCAAACAGTGTCAAGTATGGAATTCCAGTTCCTTGAAATAAAAACATGGTGCTGCAGGCATAGGGCTGAACATGAGGTTGTGGTTAGTGTTACGTCAATCTGTGGCTCTGATCTTCTGCTTTTGGTCACCCGATATAATAGGACTGAAGGGAGAATGTGACCAGATAATGTCTCTGTGACTATGTTTGGCCTTAAGGACAAGTGACTGCACTGGGTATCAAAACTCAGGACTTTTTTGGAAATGTGTCAACAGTAATCATCAGCTATTAAAACTCATGACTGCAACTAATTTGATGATTTTGTTGTGTCAACGTTTTAACCAAATACTCATATAAATAATATATATTTTGATTACGCTATAGCAAGAGAACAGAAGAAAAAAAAAATGAGTTCAAATTAAACCTAAACCCACATCTAGGTGGTTTAACCACATAAAGCAGAAGTAGAAACAACCATCTTAGCTAATGACTCTGAAAGATTTTGTATTATTTGCTGTATTTTAAATTATTTTATTCAAACCTTAAATTCATCACTCATATATGTCATGATATGTGGGGGGTATAATTAAAACTGTTTTGTACCCAGCCTGAACACTTGAAATGCCTAACCGTTCCTGTAGTTCGTCTCTCTTATGTGTTCAGAAATATATTTAAAATATCTCAATTAGCCAATTAAAAGAAAGTAATCTACAAATAAAAATTACAAAGGAAGGGACAAATGGGCCTAAAGTAATTGAAAATGTGTTATGAGACAAAACATAAAAATGACAATTAAAATATAAACAATGAGTCAGATGACCAAAATAATTCCAGCAATACCATGATACTGAAAACAGTTTTATTAACAAATTACATTTAAAAACATGAAAGAGCGAACTACATTAATACAAACAAGTCTGTCCAAGTATAGCATTTACAAGTGTATTATACAGTGGAAGTACTATACTGTTTCGACCAGGGATCAAACTTAAAGGTGGGGTATGTCATTTTGGAGAAACCAGCTCGAGTGCGCTAGAATTTGAAAATACACAACCGTAAAAATCTGCCACTTCCTTACAGAGCCCTTCCTCCAACACACACTACGGCTTCCACAGATTATTTTTTTTAAATGTATTTATTGTCACACGGCATCTATTGCACGTCTGTCCGTCCTGGGAGACTTTGGGTCACCTTCAATCCTGCTATGTTTTCCTCTCCCAGGTAAACAATTAAGTTGGAGCCTTGGTTTCGACACTTGTATTTCATACAATCGTTAATGATGAAATGCACACCTTTGCAACCCCTTCTAATTATTCAGTTCATTTCTTCCAAATAATAACACATGATGTATACTTAAACAGAAAATAAAGATTTAAAAATGGAATGTAACAAATAAGGTCCACATCATTAAGTATTATTTGGTTCCCGGAAACTGAAATTTGTTGGTAGACATGGAGCTGCTGCTTTCAGGGGATGCTGGTGAGCAAGCTGAGAACACAGTGAGAGCAGGGGAGGTGGGGGACATGGAGTTAGAGATCACTGACTGTGGCGCTGACCGGACCCTCCACTGGCATCCTGAATCGTACATGAGCCTCACCACATCATTACGGAAGCGCACGCCTACCAGAGCGTACAGGATAGGGTTGAGGCAACATCGAGAGTACGCCAGAGTGCAGGTTATGTACTCCAGCAGCAGAGCGCAGAGCGGCCCCGCCATTTTACGCGACAGCACCACAGTGTACGGCAGCTGGAACACCAAAAACACCACCACCAGCGCTACCATCAGCTTCAGGGTGCGCTGCCGACGCCACTGCTTCCCCCGCCGATTTTTGTTCCCTTCCCACAGCACTTGAGCTATCAAAGAGTAGCATGTCACCATAATGAAGAATGACAGGCAGAAGACAGCAATGATGGCTCCGTTGGTTGACATCTTGGCTGCTCCACGCTTTAGCATGCCGCAGTACGCTTTATCCCAAGACACTAACACTCCAGAGTAGAGGATTTCAGGCAAACTCAGGAGCATAGCAACAAACCACACAGCAACAGCGGCAACTTTCCCGCCTGTAACAATGCGACTGCGCAGCCGGTGCATCTGTTGGGCACGTGCCACCACAATGTAGCGGTCAACGCTAATGCAGGCTAGCAGGAGTAGCCCGCTGTATGTGTTGATAGCGTAGCATACACGCAGAACCTTGCAAAGGCCATTAGGGAAGATCCAGCCTAGGTGCGTATCGACAGCCTGCAATGGGAGTGTGAGGAGCAGGAGAAGGTCGGCCAGCGCCAGGTGGAACAGGAAGACGTCGGTCATGGAGCGAAGACGGAAACGGCGGGAAAAAACAAAGGTGGCTATGACCAGGCAGTTACCCGCCACGCCCAACAGGAAAATCAGGCAGAAGATGCAGGTCTGGAACATTTTGATGGTGAACTCTTCAGCATCACAAAAGCCTGATTCATTCTCGTTGAAGTATGTGGAGTTAATAATATTCCACAATGAGTAGTTTGAAAAGTCATAGGTTTCTGGGTAATCATTGTAATCATTGTAGTCAAAAAGGTCTTCATCATGGCGGATTTCCATTGCTGGTGGGGAAAAAAGGTGTATCGTCAGTTAGCTGAGATTCTTCCCGTTAATCTGGTATAACACATTAATAGGTTCTTAAATATTAAGATGACCTGAGACCAGAGTTGGGTGTAACGCGTTACACCCAACTCTGGTCTCAGGTCACACTGACAGACAAGAGGGGTTTCCGCCGCAGGTTTATATGTACGTAATCTGCGCGTCCACATCTCCACGTGCAGTGCTGCATAAACATGGCTGAGTCAGCGATAACTTTCGAGGGGTGGAGGTATGCCCATTATTTTGAGTTTGTCCGAAGAATAGACAGGAATGTGACGGTGAGGTGCAAACTGTGTCCAGGCCAGAAGCTGTTATCCACTGCTTTAAACACCACGTCAAACCTCAACAAACACCTGCAAAGAACACATGCTAAGATGAAGCACACACTATTTGTTGTTTGTTTATATCACGTAGTCTGTTCTTCTTCTCTGTCTTCCGGTTGTTGCCTGTTTTGAATGACGAATACACACTACCGCTGCCTGCTGGTAAGGAGAGTTATTGCCACTCACGCATGCGCAGTTCGTACGTGCTCGGCGAGTAAAGTAACGAGTTTCTTTATGTAGAGAGTAACGAAGTAGTGTAATATAGTACTTTTTTTAAAAGTAATATGTAATATGTAATATATTACATTTTTTTAGTAACGACCCCATCTCTGCCTGAGACACAGTGTTGTGAAAAAAAAAAAAAAGCCCCCGCCGAGGGGGGCTTAACAGGCTAAAGAAGAACAGTGATACTATTGAAAAAAAGCTTGGAATATTCTTTTGTGAACATTTTAGCTTTGGTGATCCCCTGACTTTTCATCTTTTTAAAAATATATATTTTTTTTAAATTAACGAAAAAGTATTTGTTTAATTACCATGAAACTGGTCTGAGACATGTTACCCAATGAATGGTCATATTGTCTTTGTATCCACAAATATAAACCGAATGTAAGGGTTGATGGGGCCAATTTTGTCTAGGAGTTTTGACACTAATTACCATGTCATTAAGACATTTCTTTCATGGATTAGTATCTTTTTGATCAATACATCTGGCATCAATTCTGATGTGTCACTACAAGGCCACGTGTTAGCGGTAAAATAACTTCTGCAGCACGGCTGCTATGATTATCTTTTATTATGAGTCAGTCTGGGCTTCTACAAAATGCCATAGTGAGACCAAATCGTGTGGACTTATCATTGTTTAAAAAAAAATGGGGCTTCTTATGAACATTCGCCTGGTTTGATTTTAAGCAGAAAAATGTACTTCATGTCGCTATATCAGGACATAGCAACTCCTCCTCAATCGGATTGAAAGTTAGAGACCTGCCGCTCTGTTTCTCAGTTTCACTTAGCTTCTGTGATATTTGAGTCATTTTGCACTGGGTTGCGTGCCACTGGCACCAGGTCGTTGGCACAGGGGAAGTCGTGGGTAGCGCGAGCCTCTACATATCAGTCAGTGTCGCGTGCCAACAGCCTTTATAGGCAGTTTCCACAATCACCTTTTGTCATTTCATCTTCCACTGTACAACTCGGTTATGTCTGCAAAACTATGCGCATATTACATTTTTCTCTTTATCTTGTATTCTTTAATATCTATTTGATGGTGGATATAGGCATGATGGTATTTCCCTTGAAGGTAAGAGGAACAATAATACGCTGATGAGGTAATTTGCCAAGTAAAACATCTTAAGCAAACTGCAGTCTATAAGACTATATTACAATGGTTTTAATCATACTTTAAATCTAGGAGGCCAAAAATGTGTAAAGGAGTTCAACAAGGGTCAACTCTTGGTCCACTATTATTTACAACTCTATCAAATAACCGCATCTCTCACTGTATTCTAATGTCAATTATTATGCCGATGATAATGTTCTGGGCCTTCAATTCAACTCCTATTGAGGCTTAAAGTCTCTTCACTCTTTCCTCAATCATATGTGCGCCCTAAATGCAGAAAGAAAAAACGAATTATTGTATTCCAAATATCTAACTTTTTGGTTATAACGAAAATGTATACTGAATGTAATGAATGTAGAGGTTATATGGATTATCTGTAAACAGGCTTCCGAAATTCAGCATTAAATCTACCCTAATAGTGTTAGTCATACTACACTCCACTGTTATATGGAACATTGTATTACAGCTAGAGTGGAGATGGGAGAGTGTGAACGTGTGAAAGTACACAAAGTCTATAATTGTTGTTTTTATAATCCATGCCAAGTTTCACGAACGTTTCTCTCTTTCAAATTCTTGGAGGACAATCATATTTAAAGGGAAACACATTGTATGATATTTGTGCAAAAAAGCTTTATCATAACAGTTTCAAAAGTGCCTCCTTTTTCTCATTGAAACGTTTCAATTTCAAAACATTTTCGAAAGATTATTGACCATAGAAATGTGTTCTGTGCGTGCAAAAAATGGCAGGACTGCGCTGATGCATTACGCACAGTTTAGATTGAACTAACGTTGTTAAGGCTAATTACCAGATGTCTACCCTTGTAATAGTCTAATAACTAAATTAAGTTTAAATAAATCACATTCTACTCTATTTCCAAAGCAGTTGACATCTCACGTAATACATGGTAGGCTAATACAGATTTTGTTTTATTATAATATTCTCTAAGATCCAGTATATTTTTCTTTTTATTCGTGATGACTTTTAAAGTTGGAAATCTGAATTTGTTTTTTTATGCTCCAAGGTTTTACATTTGTCAAGAAGTTTGTTTGCAGATATTAATTATTCTAAATGTAACACATTCTACACATTTTCCATCAGTTGTCACTATCAACTTTATTTAAAAATATTATAGCCAATCCTGCATCCTTTCTCACTGTATCTGTATTAATAAGAGACAATGAAATAACAACTCCTTTGCAGTCAGGTTGAAAGTTAACTCATATCTGGCAACCAGGTCTGTTGTTGTACAGTTTGAGTGGGAAGCAGTTATATATATTTCAGTCATTGTTCACATGGTGTCAGGCTGTTGGCATGAGGGAAGCCGTGAGGAGCTTTAACATCTGCACACATGCCACATGCCAATAGTCAGTTTCTCTTCTTCTTTCACTGAAGCAGCTGGGTGAATAATAATATTATTTATTTTTCCCTTGTTACCGGTACGGTAGAGAATTAGGGCCACATAAAACATTTTTTTGTGAGGATTTGAAAAAAGTATTATTTTTTTTATTCTGAGAAAAAAGTCAGAATTCTGACTTTTTTCTCAGAATTCTGACTTTAATCTCAGAATTCTGATTTTTTTCTCCCAAAAAAAAAATCCTCTTCCGTATACCGGCATGAGTCTTGTCACGAGGGAGTGACCTTGAAGTAAATCTCTTTAACAGTAGCTGCCTTAGAATATAATTTAAAAAAGATAATCATTTTGACAATTCTTCATTTATTTGTTCATGTATACAGATTCTTATATTAATTTAACAGATTATGAGCGATTTATGTAGGCTCTAATTCGTGATTCACCATAATTGCAACAGTTTCTCTAAAATGATCTGCGGTCCCCAATAACTCATTTTAAATAGTGAGGTTTTAAATCAATCAAATAAAATGGGTATTAATTCAAAATGGGTACATGTAATCTAGTAATAGTCATGTTAATTAAATGTATACATTTAAAAATAGTAATTTGTTGGTATTCTTAACTATATTTATTCAAAGTGAAACAGTCAATCAGTTATTTCAAAAGTCCCCAGAATTTCTTAGTGACCTTACCTGTGCTTTTTGAGTAGTTCAGCATGTCCAGAGTCCTCCTCCTGTTCCTGAGGTAGAGATACAGAGCCTGCCACTCTTAAAAATAAGCCTGAAGGTTTAACCCTAACCCTACCCAGCCAATGAAACCAGCTCTGTGTTTTGCTGAACTTTGGTTGGTTGTTTGTGTCACAATAATTCCCAGAAGGATGTGATGATGCACATGTGGTACTGTCATATCTCTGAGACTGACTCTGTAGGATGCATATTATCTCTCATTTGGAAAATATCTGATTAAGAGAAGTGTTATTGGCATCCTGATTTGAACAATGCTACTTATAAGTCAACAGATCAATGCAACCATACTGCATGTATCCAACACTGCAACTGCACATAGATATTTGTCATGACAATCTGTATTAACCTGTTAAGCCCCAAGGACCCCCTCGGCGGGCCCTTTTTTATTTTTGTTCACGACACTGTCTCAGGGGATCTTAATATTTAAGAACCTATTAATGTGTTTTACCAGATTAACGGGAATAATCTCAGCTAACTGACGATACAAACCATTTTTACCAGAACAAAACACAAGTCTCATAAGAAGCATCTAAATGACCCCTGAGTGAAAAATGCTAACGCACTTTGGCACATAACTCAAGATAAAAGACACCCTTATTACTTATCGTAGCTGCACATACAAGATATCCGATTAAATCTGAGGTTCCACAGATTATTTAGGTATAGTATCATCACTGAGTGATCCGAACTCGCGACAGGGGAAGCAAACACAGACATCACAACACGTACCTTTACGGAGCTTTTACGGGAGATCGTCTCACCGTAGCTGTCAATCTGATCAAAAGACTTGTTCAATGGCATTAAAACGAGAAAAAACGCGGCTGAATCGGTTAATCCATAGGTTGATAATGTTTCTGGGTGATAATTTTTTTAATTTATAATCCATAATTCCATTTTTATGTAAAAATCGGAGAGTAAAAGTTAGCTGCTAATGGTAGCCACCAGAGTTATCGCAGCTTCCGGTCTTGGCTATGCGTCAGTCTCACACACACACATTACCAAATAAGGAGTATGTGGGAGTTCCCCTCGATTCCATTGGCTCTGACGGTTAGAAAGAGATGTCAATCAGCAAAATCGAGCAAGGGGGGCCAGAGTTAGGTCAAATCCACCCAAATTACCCCAGAAGTGGGTTTTTTTGGCTAAATCTCTCTAAAAAGGTCACATTTCACTTGTTTTGCATCAATCTTGATACAGGGTACTTATTATATG